TCTATGGAACCCAGTTTGAAAATCTCTGGAGATGTGATATTGCCACTTTTATTTTAGTGTGAAATTCTTAATCAGATTTTTTTCAGTTAATACTGAGATTAGCCCCTCACCCATGTCAAAGTGAAGAAATAAGCTTGGAGCACAAAGTAAGATGGGGTAGGGAGGGTGCTAAAAGTTGGCGGGGATGAGAAATGGATATAAATTGGGAATGGGAAGATTCTACCTCAGAGAACTGCTTCTGCTTCTCTTTTCCTCTAAGATAGTTCCATAGATTTGGGGCTCCAGGGCAAATGTTTTATGGATTCTCTAAATTCTGATATGCCTGGCTCCTGAGGGCCTAAAGTAAAGAGCTGGAGATAGAGGGACCACCAGAGCTAGGGATTTACATGGGCTTGTACCCAGGCTTTGGACAGTCTCAAGTATGTGGGGGGTCAAGGTCTCCTGGAGTCAGATTGGATACAGAGCAGACTCTCCCTCAGCCACTTACACCGTCCCAGTGCCCCAGAGAGGCTGCTAGCAGGAGATAGCAGAATTATCTTCCATATTAGTCCATTCACGTTGCTATAAGAGAATACCACAGACTGGGTAACTTACAAAGAAAAACATGTATTTCTCATAATTCTAGAATCTGTCCTGAGTTCTCACTGCCATGAAGGGTAAGTTGCTTGGCTTAACTTTAGGCTGTTCTGCTCTCTGCCCTGCAAAATTCATCCAGGAAAGGAAGTATAAAGGGGTGGTTATGTGTCGCAAGTTCCAGAGATTCACCCTGAACCAATAGGCTCAGATAGGGGAAGGGACCCGGCTAAAACCCTAAGAGGTGGGGCAGGGACTAAGACACTCCAGGTCTAGGCTGGCCTGCTCTCTTCTACTCTCAGGCCATCTTGCTGGAGACCTCCCCATGGAAACAGGAAGAAAGAACAGCAGATGAGTAGATGTTTGGCTAGTCCATCCTATGGACACACAGACTGGACCACAGACATCACCAACAGCACTTTTACAGATGGGAAAAATATGGCCCAGAGAAGAGAAGAGGCTCTTGCCAACAATATCAGCTGGTAGGTGGTAGAACCAAACTTCAGCTTTTTGGTCAGCAGTTCCCAAACATGACCATATATGAGAATCATCTGGAATACTCATCCAAAGCATGTCTCCTGATGCCAGTCCTAAACATACACAATCAGCCCTTTTGCAGAGGGACCTGGTACCTCCATCATCAATGTGCAACCAGGTAGTTCCAGCATGTGGCCAGGCTTGGAGTCCATGGAACTGAGCCATTCCCAAGAGTTGAGTCAGGACCAATGACACTGGGCTCAGAGCTATGGACAGAAGTGAGGGCAAGAGGTCCTGGAAAGTATGCAGTTCAAGAAGAGCCTCTAGTCTTGCTCCACTTTACTTTCTCTCTCTCTCTTTTTCTCTCTCTCTCTTTTTCCTACATCGAATGCTAAGAAGAATGGATTACTTATTGAAGCAGGGGAAGATTTCAATCTTAGCTTAGCTTGGAGTCAAGGTGAGTGTGACCTGAAGCTTAAAGCAGGAACTTGGGGTAGGACTTTCCATCAAACCCATAAGTGGCTGTGAGAGATGGTGCCCAGGTCACAGGCTGGGATTCTGTGGCATAAACTCCAAAGACAAAGCTGAGCTCCCAGATCAATGGCCCAGGACTCAGCTTACACATAGATGGAGTTAGTGCAACCAGACCAGCAGCACAGAGTCTGTGGTCTCCAAAATCTGCCTATACTCAACTTAATCACCACAAGATTCTGTTTTCCAGGCTTCTGCTGAGTTGTGTCCTTGAGTTTCAGTTTGGCTTCCTGACCATTACTTCACAGCAATGACTCATGGAATCTGATGCATCCTACCGCTTGGCCCTGGTAGCTTGACCAATGTGCCCTTTTTGTGGACAGCTCCTACTTCCAGTCCCCACCATTCAGCTTTCAGGGTGCAGTCTACTTAGGTCTCCTCCCTGGTTCACTCACTTGGATCCAGTTTCCTGCTCTGTTCTAGGCTCTGCTGTCTTTTGTGATGGAGTTACCAAGGCCTCTGTTGAGAAACTCCTTACTGAAATGTGGCTGTTGTGGAGAGGAGAGACACCCTGGGGCACATGGGATATGAATATTCATGCCTTCCAAGCTGCGGTCCCTTGTATCATTGTCTTTTACCGAAGAACCCTGTGATGAGTTTAAGTTTGAGTTAGGCCCTATTCCTAGAGATGAGTTTGCATTTTTTTCTTTCATTGTAAGATATTTCAAACAATTTTCCTTGATTTCCAAATAGCTTAGCATTAGATAATAGAAATCAGCTCATTATCTCCTTGTCTTAGGTGGTTACCTATTCTGTTTTATCTTTGAGTATCAATTTGTCATCAACCCAAATGTGCTGCTTCAAAGCTTTTGAACAAAGACAGAGTATACATCTTGAATGAACTCCATAAAAACTCTGGTGGTTAACACAGATATTTAAGGAGGAATGTGAACAAGACTACCTGCCCCCCCCCCCCACT